ATGGTTATTTGAGCTGAGACTCTGTTGATTATGTTGTTTATTTGATGAGCATGGAGATTGTCCATGCCACATTGACTTGACTTTATGCTTTTAGATTCGAGTTGCATAATTGTATCAGGATTATGTCCGATCTACGTGTTGTAGTTCCGTGACTTAGATACTCACACTTATCTATCTATTGAGGTATTTCAGTTAGCTGTTTTTTTGCAATTTACATACAGGCGCTATTTTTTTTTGAAATAGAATTTAATAATCAACTTGGTTAATGATAATGACGTCATAATTGAAAAGAAAAAAGATATTCCACATTTTAATTAAGTGTGGCTTAATACGATGACATGTTAACAAATCGGGTATACATAGGGTGTTACACAGAGCTTCACTGATCACGTTACAATCGAATTCGGCTTCCGAGAATTCATCATTATTGGAATCATCTTTCTGATTCCTTTCCTCTTTCTTTTTCTTCTTAGGGACCAGACTCTTGCTCCTCTTCCGGTTTCCAGACTTTCTTTTGATGTTTTTGGCACCCTGAGTTTTGATGACATACTGGCATTGTTTTTCTTCTCTAAGTAATTTCTCCACAGCATCTCGAAGATCCCAGCATTGATCAATGTTGTTACCTGGTTCATCATGGAAGACACAATATTTGGACTTATCTAATGCTCCTCTATCAAATATGGGTCGAGGCTTATCCACTTTCTTCATTTCCGTCATTGCCACTTCCCTCCAAATTTGAGAGCGTGAGGCATTCAACGGTGTATACTTCTTATATCTTCCAACCTAGTCTCTATCATTCTGGAATCTTTGTTTTTATTACCGGGTATATCCTTTTCTCTTGGGGCCGGGTTTCTACTTCTTGGGCTTGCTCTTTTTCCTTCCTCTGATAACACATTTGCTATCTCCATTTTTTCAAGTTCCAAGTATTTCATAGAACGAGTTCTGAACACCTCCATTGTCCTCACAGGGTCTTTGTATATCGATTTGGCTAGTCTAGACGATCCATCCAGTCCAGCCACAATGAGGTGAACATGGACATTTTCTTGCAAACCCGACACTTGCAAGGCAACATCTTTAAACCTATTAAGATATCTCTAGAAAGTTTCTCCTGGTTGCTGTCATATCTTGCCAAGTGCGAATTCGGATTTTGGATATTTTTGCTGGTTGCAAAATTCAAAAGGAACTTTTGTCCAAATTCCTCAAAAGATCCAATGGAATTGGCAGGGAGGGTTGAAAATCATGTTTGCGCTACCCCAGTCAAAGTTATGGCAAATATTCGAGATATGAGGGGCTCATCTATCCCTCGAATATACATGTCCATATCAAAAGCATCGATGTGGATCTGTGGGTCCTGACTTCCATCATATTTTGGCAAGCGTGCCGAATCAAAATCCTCCGGGAAAAGAGCATTTCGTATCTCACCAGTGAAGGTCTATTATTATACTGCCCCTATTTTATTTCCTCTTATAGCCATCAGGTTCCACGCATCGTCTATTGTCTTGAGCATTTTGGTCGGGGTGTGTACCATCCTGGTTTCTCTGTCCATTTACTCATACTGAAGCATTCTGGGTAAAAATTTGAACGGCCGCATTCTGACCTTCCATTGCAACATTCTCAGGATTCGGGTTCAGTGTGCTCACAGGATTTCCCCTTCCGTGGTTCTCTACCTTAGCAACCCGATTTTGAGGGTCTGGGTTATGGTTCCCTTCACGGCCATGAGCATCTTGGCCCTGGACCTCTCTCACCCAAGTTCTTGTCATCCTCATTAAGCGTTGTTCCAGATCCTGCATTCTCTTTGTATTCTATTCCTGTATCATCTGGAGGTCTTGTTCCTGCTAGAGGTTATTATAATTCTCCATCTCCTCCAATTGCCGTAAAATTGCAGTGAAAGCATTTTGGGCAAGCCGAGAATCAGGATCTGCAGATTGGGCAACGCGCGCAGCAAAATCCGCAGGATGCTAGGGTGGATTGTTCGGAGTTGGAGTCGCAACTCGATCACGGGGTGCAAGGGTGGAAGCTGTGTCTGACACATCCTCACTGACATGAACATGATCATAATCTATTTCATTCTCAGGCTGGTTCTGAGGTTGATTCACCTCTTCCAAGACTAGATCCAGCAGCTGATTCTGAGGGTGTGGCTGTTGGCTATTACTTCTCGTACAGACTGCCATCTTTCAGTCTGAATAGTGGGAACTTCAAATTCAGAAAAGAATTTCCCACAGACGGCGCTAATGTTCTGCCTTAGAGACAGAAATGTCCATCTCAATGGACTGGTATATCGATCTTGGATCTAGTGCCCTCTCCAATGTATCTATGAAAGAGATACCCTTGAGTCAAGCAGATCACTGTGCACAGTAAACAACTACCGGCTTTGCCAAAGGGGGTGTGTATGTGCGCACAGTGATAGCATAACAGTAAGAGAGAGAGTCTACCGTACCTTTAGGATTTACCTTGTATTTATAGAGGTTATCTGTGAGTAGTATGATGTGGGCCTTTGGTGTCTCTGATAAAGGCTCAAGCCTGTTTGCTACCTGTCGTATTAGGATTAGTATCCTTGATGTATACTCTCCGTAATTATAATTGATTCAGATCTTGGATTGCCCATTATTGGGCATGCCATTCAATGAGCCGCTTATACGGGTCCATAACAAATTGATAATTTGTTTATCAAAAGAATTAAACGAGTAAAACATTTCTGATTTTGCGTTATATGGATCAGAAAGCCAAAATGATCAAAATCTGGATTAATATCCTTATTGGGCAGTATAAGGTAACTTTGATGATCAAAAGGTAACAAAATAAAAAGTACAGCACTAGTGGTTTTGATAATCTTTTGTCCGAGGACGAAGTGAAAAACAAAGAAGCCAGCTGCAAGTTCACATTCTCAGGAAGGCACAATACAGATACAGATGGATAAATGACATAGTAATTTTTTTTTTTTTTATAACAATGACATAGTAATTTTAAACAAATAAACTTTGTTAGGTGTTTTCAATAGGCTGCATGCATAAGCTAGTTAATTTTGCAATCCAGCACTCTTGGAGATACAGTCGCTTATTACTAATATTTTTTTTTGTTTTTCTTACGGTAGGATTGGCCTAACTATTGTTGTTCTTTTAATGCATTCAATAATTTATTATCAGTCCTACAAAGAAATATAAATACCTTCCTCTCTCTCTTTTGGAAATATTCCAATTGGTTCATTGCTTCGCAACTAATCCGATTCGGGGCAGATCCAAGATTAAGGCTTTAAACTCCTCCCAAAAATGGTACTGGAGAGATTCGAACACATGCTCTCACCCCCACATGCTTAGCTCTCAAACGTCAATTGAGCTACCACCATTTGATAATACCTTCCTTTTCAAATTCAAATTTTACTACTTAATTGCTTTCTCTAGGCCCTCCATGAACGTATTATATGTGTGTTAACAGCACATAACATTCTTATTATATTATTTTTATATTTTTGAAGGTATATAAGGTAAAAACATATATATTTTCTTTTTTCAAATAGGAAGGCGTAAAAAATAATGTGGAAAACATATTTCATTTTTGAAGCAACTAATTTTGTTGTTTCTCGCCGAATAAGATGAAATAATCAAAATAATTGTGCCAAGATAACACCGGGTATTATGTTTATAAAACTTTATGTTCATTTTTTTTTTTTGAAATATTTTTTTTTGGATATTTTCAATCAGTTTATCGTTTTACGATTATTCTGATTCGCAATGGGTCTTGGAATTAAAATTTTAAACGTCTCCCAAAGACGATACTAAGAAAGATCGAACACATACTCTTACATCCACCTGCTTAATTTACTAGTAAACTATTATCATTGGGTAAACTTTACATTCATTAATTAGAGATTTTTATGAGATAAGATGTCTTGTTCTTTCCTGATTTGTTATATAGTAATATATGGAATAAAACTTTAATGCTACACTCTTATTGAATGCTCAGCGCAACGATGATATTATAACTATATATTTTAATAAATATATAATTATAATATTAATTTTTTTTCTTTGCGCATCAGTCGATAAATTTCTTAAAAAAATAATTTTAATATTATAATTATATATTTATCAAAATATATAGTTATACTACCACCGTGGCACTGAATGCGTGCGACGGTTGTGCTAATACGTGAACTCCATCAACTTAGACATTTCAAAAGTGACCATTTAGTTAGAAAAATCCATCTTTCATCACTCAGTTCTCACATTTCTTATATTAAGATAGGTGGTAAAATCAAAGTTAGTTTTAGAAAATAGCTACGGATCTTTATGTCGAAAAGAAGACAGCGCGCGGTAGGATTTAGTGGTTTAGTTTGGGTTCAGTACTAGATTTAGCTCTAGTTTATTTATTAATTACATTTTATATTACAATCTTATCAAGATGAGACGATGATTTCATTACAAACGGCTACTTTCAGCCGATTGCCGTCTTCTTGGAGAAGAGATTATTCTCAACAATTTATGTAACACTGATATTGACACAAGACATGATATGATATTTTGATACGTTAATTCTTAAAAATATTAGGTTTTAATATGTTAGGACACATTTTGATATTAAATAATATTTTTAATTTATGTAGTGTATATTATGTTTAATATTTAATAATTTTACAAAAAAATGTAGCTAAATTTATAATATCTATTTTTTTTTGTATATAATTTATATCTATTAATTTTGCAAAAAAAACATAAAATATCACAAATATTTATATTAAATTCAATAAAATAATAATCATAATCCAACAAATCTAATAGTTAGAACAAAAAATGCAACGCAAAGCAACCATTGAACTTTTTTTGAGTCTCTGCAACACATGTTGGAAAGTGTCAGAAAATATTGAATACGACACGTCAGATATTTTGAAGTGTCTGTGCATCATAGCTCTGAGCTCATGGTACTCCCCCTCCTACGCCTGTATATATGTATATTACACTATAATTTGACTAAGTTGCCATAAGCCACTTCAAATCCAAATCTCAATGGATCCTTTTGGAAGAATGGGATATATTTGCAAGGCCATGGTTGCTGTTCTGAACTTACTTGTTTGTTATTCATTCATCCACGTGGCAAGATGCTCGCCGGTGGATCCAACCCTTGGGTTCACGGATCTTCCATTGAACCAATCAAATCTTGAAGTTCAGAAGCCTTATAATGTACCTGAAAGCGAACGTTATAGCTTTGTAGATGGAGTGCACAAGATGTGGGTGTACTCCACGGACGATCCACACTCCATAAATAGCAGAACCTTACCCCGAACTGAAATAGGCATTAGAGTAAGCAATCTTTTTGCTTAATTTTTGTACTCCTATTTTCTCTTCAACGTACATGAATTATATTTGTTGTAAAATTACAAAAGCTTATATTTCATTAAAAAGTTACAGGCTTGTATATGCCAATTCCTAATGGTTTTATTGCCTTGGCCTTTCAGGGCTACGGTTATAACTCTGGGGTATGGCAATTTGAAGGGCATGGTTTTGTGCGGAATGGTACTTCTGGCGTGTGTATTATGCAAGTATTCGGGTCAGCCCCTCCTCATGCCACCACTTTTATGCTTAGAACATATAACGGTTCTCTTACGTATTATACGAATCCGGTTTTGGTTCCAAACATGTGGGGGAGATGGTTTAAATTAAATGTGATCCATGACGTCGATGCCTCGTATTTGAAGATTTACATTGATGGAGTTCTGGTTTATGTGGCTCCTGGCCGTGGCGGTACCTACCATTCCTTCAAGTTCGGGGTTTACGCACAAGATTATGATTCTTACTGTATGGAGTCCCATTGGAAGGGAATTAGAGTTCTGAAAAAATGCTCATGATTGAAGCTTGGGATATGTTGTTTAATATCTAGTTTAATAAAGTTCGATGGAAATAACAATGTTCATTAAAGTTGGTGGATACAGCTAGCATACTAATTCACACATATTTTCACGCTTCTACAACACTAATCAACATTCCATTTAACCATTCATCATACATCAAAACATATACTTAACCTTTTATTCAAAATCATTACTTCATTGATTCTTTAAATGTCAATTTATCTTCACAAGTTCAAAGACTTAAACCAATCATTCAATTACACTTTACTATACACCAAATACACATAACATCATTCAAAATGAATTAAATATCATGGATACAAGTGTCAATTTATCTTCACAAGTTCATGATCCTCACTTCGATTGACATCAAACAACCAAATACACTTTGAATCCATGCTGTACACATTCAATTCATCATTTTACATACAAACCCTAATTTAATTAGGTTTGGCAAAATTGAATGCTTAGGTAATTACTTAGGAATTCTTTGTATTTTCTTCACACAATTCATTAACAAATCATCACACATTCTTAATTCCATCATCAATCATATATCAATACATCATTATCATACACTTAGTATGCATAGTCAAATTTACAACTTGAACATCAACACTTTGCATGCATTTTTCATAACATACAAATCATTAATTAAACTTTAAATCATCAATTAAACATCACACCACATCAATTAACATACAAGCATCATCAAATCATATCAAATCCTAATTTACTATTCATGGCCGAAATTAAAAGTTAGGGTTAGGTTTAATTCATGCAATTTTTCAAAATTCAAGATATAGTCTTTGATTTACAAGATTAAACAATCAATTTCCAACACAAAACCATTTCAAAATTCATCATAAATATACATAGAAATTCATATTGAATACAAAAACTCAAATGTTCATAGATCATAATCAAATGAACAAAGTTGTTAGCAATTTCCTTATATAGCTTCTTTTAAGTAACCTTAAGCTTTTTCCAACATAAAAACCAAACAAAACTCATCCAAAATGTAACACCCCATCTGCAGCCGTTGTTTTAACATACAAATGGTATTTAAAGCGCAACTTACAACAATTAAACGCGGAAGCAATGTACTATTTTCTTCAAATAAACATGGCTAATCCTCATGGTGGATTAACTTTTCCTTTTAATAACAATCCTTATGTAATTGCAAAACTAAAATAAAACCTGAATTACCTCGTACTCATAAATAACAATTCAAAAGCATCGATAACTCATGGTGCTACAATACAAAAACTCAAGTCACAAAAAATATACTATTTAATAGTGGCACAGACAACCCCTATGCTCACCACAGATAACAACATAATCCATCAAGTCTAGTCATAATAAAGTCTCCTCAGGGTAGAATGAATAATCATAATATGCATGACTATAACAATAATGAAATCTCTATGTTGTCCTCTTGCCTCTATCAGTGTCCGTCTCACGAACGTCATTGTAACACCTCGTGTATACCTGGTTTGTTATCAAATCATCGTATTAAGCAGCGCTTAATTAAAATGAAAAATAAACTTTTTCTTTTCAATTATGACGTCATTAATATTAACCAAGTTGATTACTTAATCCTTTTTCAAAACATTGTCTGTATGTAAATTGCAATAAAAGTTAAATACACTGAATAACCTCATAATATAGAATACGTGAATATCTAATTCACGGAACTACAACACGTAGTCCGGACCATAATTCTGATACATAATACAACTCGAATCTAAATAAACAAAGTCAAGACAATGTGGCATGGACAACCCTCATGCTCACCAAATAAGGCAACAAAGCCTAACAGAGTCTAAAATCAAATAACATGATAATAAATAAATAACATGTCAGCATCCAATCATATCATCATAAACAACATATATCTCAACTCACCTCCAGCCTCCTGCCGCCCGAGGTATCAACCCCTCGAGTTACTTGAACCTGAAAATGTGCCCCAAACGTGAGGTGAGATCTCTAAACAGAAATCTCAATAAGACAAGGGGTCCTCAAGGATCTCTCAACCCCAAGCTCACTTACATGGGCAATATAAGTTCTAAAAGCAGTAAAACGGTATAAGTTCCAAAATCAGTGCAATGTAGCAGATAATCATGTCATGAGTGTCAAATATTCTTCTGACCAGAGAAATGTAGGATTTACATACGTCTATAACCTACAATTAGTGCAAGAAACCACTTGCACCCACCCACAGAATCATCCTATTGTATGTTTCCACATACTCAGGCTTACCGTCTAGGTGGCACAACATATGCATATCATGAAGCACTTGCACATAACAGCTCAACAGCATTTCAAATTTTAATACATGAAAACACATCATGCATATAAACCATTCCCCCTTGGGGTATGGTGGAACCAACAATGGCTAAACCGATGACACGAAAGCTTACCTCTTAAGCAATCAATCCAAGCCAAGTCCACACTGGCTCAATGCCCACAAATAGTACAATCACAATCTATTTATACAATAAATAATCATTAATATTCATTATCTAAGGTTACATTAAGTGAATTGGGCTTCCAACTTGTTTTAGGTGATTTCATGCAAATTCTGCATGAGGTTTTCGAATACTCCTCTATGAGTATTCGAATACTCCATGTCACCAGAAAGTATCCGAATACTTTCACTTAAGTATCCGAATACCACAAGGTATCTGAATACTTTTCACTTAGTATCTGAATACCACAAGGTATTCGAATACAATTCCCACAGTATCCGAATAATACCCAGTATTCGAATACTTCTTCTAAGGTATCCCAATACTTTTCTTCCCATAAAAGTATTCCAATACTCCTTCACGGAGTATTCGACTACCCCTTGATAAGTATTCGAATACTTTTCGAGTATTCGAATACTTATCAGACAGAATGCAGAAACTTGAGTTGTTCCCTGCATAAACCTATTTTTAAAGGTCCAAAAGCGATTTGGAGTCCAATGACTCCGTAAGCAGATGTTCATTACCATATTTTAGACTTAGATTATCAGTCCTTAACTCAAATGATCAAAGTTTTTCTTTTTAATGGATTAAACAAGCTTAAATCATGAAAATACCAAAGAGGTGATCATGGTGTACCTCAAGTGTCTCAAACTCAGAAAAAGAGAGTGGCTTGGAGCTTCCAACATAACTCCAAGGTTCTGACTTTGCCAAGCCACGAATTTGGTACACAAGAATGGTTCTTTCCTTTCAAAGATCACTCCTTGAAGCTTCAACAACCAAGGAAAAGGCTTCTACACTCTCTCAAAAAAGGTGGCAGCAGCACCACGCCACCAAGCAGAGGCTAACCCTCCAAAAATGGACCACCAAGGAGGAAGAATCAATGTAAAAGATGTAATCTTGGTCCATTCTCAATCCTAAAGGTCAAGACTTCATGAGGAGAAGAAAGTTCAGAAATGAGGCACAAGAGAGGCACGTAGAGCTGATGGGAAATCAGCCTAGGGTTTTGTGCCCTTTAGCTTTTATAGGTCCACTTAATTAACCGTCGGTATTAGCACTAATGGCTACGCTTATTATTTTAATCTCAAACTTTGGATTCTGAACCTAGCCATTTTTATAAGATTTATCATATTTTTATTTTATTTTTCGCAGCACTTTGCCGGTACGCACTTTTACGTAGCCTCTATCAGTTCTGACGCCAGTTCTCATTATTTTGACTCCAAACTTATTATACTAGTCCTATATATTATTCTAGTAATATATACACACTTTTCATAATTTTCCGGATACTTCATCGATACGCATTTATACCGTGAGGCAGAACCGATATCTGCACTTTTTGTCAGAAAAGGGACTTTCAACATTATTAATCACTTACCATAATTATTTAAGCCTTCTCATAATTATTAGAGTCAATTATGGTATTATCTCATTAATCTCATAATTAATTAATTAAATTGTTAAATTAACAGTGCAGGTTCTTACAGTCATCTCCTGAAAATGTGCCCCAAAATGGGGAGAGATTTCTAACAGAAATCTCAGTAAGACAAGGGGTCCTCAAGGAATCCTCCACCCCAAACTCACTTACAAGTATAATATAAGTTCTAAAACAGTGCATGCAGTATATAAAGAAGCAGATTAATAACAAGATAAAAGGAATGGCTATACCGGGCCATTTATAGCAGTAAACAATATAATATATAAAATGAGCATGCCATGCAATATATCAAATGAGTGTGTAATGCCGTTTATGTCCATGTCATGTGTGTATGCATCCTCAAACATACATCATACGAGTATGCAAATCATAATCCTACTGGCCAGAGAACAATGTAGGTATTACGGATGTCTGCAACCTATTCAAAAGTATAAGGAGTTCACCTTATACCCACACTGCAAGAGTTTTACCCCTTACATGAAGTCCACCACGCTCAGGAACCCCACACAAGTGTTGTGCACACTACCCCACCTACATATACAAGTAGCAATACACTATAACAGAATCCAGCTCAACAGCATATCTATCCAATACTCATAACATAACAGATATAATTTTCAGAAAATATACCATGCACATGAACCAATCCCCCATCAGATTTGGCGGAACAAGCAACGAATAAAACCGAGGACCAAAAGCTTATCGGAAATGCCAAAATCCTTATCCAAAGGCTCAGTGTACACCGATACACCAACAGTCACACAATCCAACAATTGCAATATATTTTATATCAAGAATATTTTTAACAATCAGAATCCCGAATTTCATAACAATTGGACAATTTTTTCTTTTTTGTTTGGTGACTGTAGGCTTCTTCCAAAGCCCACAGGAACAAACCGTCTTTACTATTTTCAAGACTGAAATTGCAAATCTTTACCAAAACTTCTAAAATTTTACTATGTTAGACTAAACATCACAAGCTTTCCAACGACATATTTTATGTCTCAATTGGATTTGTATAACTCCGGTTATGTTTTTCGCAAGGTAACAAAATTTTCCACAGCAAGGCAGAAAACTAAAACCCAAGCCGCGATGAATATAGTTTTCCAATAGATCTGTAATTTTGTAATATTCTCCCCCTATGTGTTAGCTTCACATTGGTCTAAACCTCACTCAATTTGAAGCTCTACAGCTTGAGATATCACGATTTTACTAAACTAGTGCGTTGTTGTCATTTTTTTCCAACTGGGAATCGATTCCTCCGCTACAGAATGCAGAAAAACTACATTTTTTCTGTTTTGGAGGTGCTTCAATGGCACCCCAAAGGTTCTAACTTCGATATACCCACTTTACACTTAGATTAATAACCCCTAACATAAATAATTAAAGTTTCTCTTTTTCATTACTCAAAACAAGCCATTTTCATGAATTCACAAAGGAAATGGTATGAGTTTACCTTAGAGCTTCTAAAATCAGAGAAAGAGGCTCATTGGATAACTTTTGACCACACCCAAACTACACAAAAAAAGGTGCACGAAAATTAACTCTCAAAGCTAGGTTCTTTCTCCATAAAGATGACACCTTGTACACCATTGTGTGTGTAAATGGCTCAAACACAAACTCACAACTATGGCAGTCTCTCATTCTCTCACAAAACATAAGCTTTCAATTATTCAAGGTTGAACCATGGAAGAAGGATGGAGAAAACATGATTATTGGTCAAGTTTCATGAAAAAAGGGATGGACTTTCATGGAGTTCTTGAGTGGGCAGCCATAAAGAGTTTTGGAAGAGTGACAATCTGAGTGTTAGAAAGTCTAGGGCTTTAGAAAGTCTAGGGCTTTGTGCCCTCTTCCCTATTTATAAGTGTACCCACTGAAACTAACAATATTAGTTCTAATAGTTCTAGTAATTATTTTTCTTCCAAATTGTATATTCTTAACCTAGATATTTTTCTAGGAATTATCATATTTTTACATTAATTTTTTGAGACACTTCACCAGTATGCGTTTTATACATAGTCTCTATTAGTTCTGACACCACTGCTCATTATTTTACCCCAAACTTGATATCCTTGACCTAGATATTTTTTTAGGAATATTTATATTTTTATTATAATTTTTTGGAATACTTCACCGGTACGCATTTATACCGTAAAGCAGAACCGGTATTTACATTTTTCATCAGAAAAGCGATTTAAGCATTATTTGACCTTCTCAGTAATTATTCTAATTTTTTTATATTTATCCAAAGTCAATTATGGAATTATTTCTTAAACTCATAATTAAATTATTTAAATTCCTAATTTAGCGGTGCGGGTTCTTACACAAAACATCAAAGTGAAGCTGCCATATTCAACCTTTAGAAGGGATTATCTCACTCAATATAAGGCTAGAAAGTGTATGGTTTGAGGGCTTTTGCTCACAAGTCACAACCTCACAAGGAATCTTCTTCATGTTGTAACTTTCTTGAAATTATGACTAGAAATCAAGTTCTCTCTAGCTCTCACTCACCGTGGATGCCATGGTCATGGAGGAGAAGATGAAGTATTTTGTGTGTCTTGAAGAAAGAATAAGAAGATGACAAGTGGTTTGAAATAAAAAGGTTTAAAGCTTTACTTTTTATGACTTTTTCACTTTTTTAACTTAGATTTTTCTATCCAACCTTAACCAAACTTTCAAGACAAGTCTCCCACCTTAAGCATCAAATTTTTGTGCGTGGAAGACACCAGAGAAATAGTGTAAACCGACTTGCACAAGTAGGAGGAGAATAGCACACAATTTTTGACTTTTCAAAGCTTTAAAGTAACTTAATTTTCATTGGTTTTCACTTTACACATCAGCCACTTGAATTTTTGACCAACCAATCACACAATAATATAATTACACATCACATATAGCATAGAAAACAAGACAATCATCTTTGACCAAAGCTTAAGCCTAGGTGTAAAGTTTAAGCTTACTTTTAACTTAGTTGACTTTTTAATTAATAAATCTTTGACCTAATTATTTAAATTATTCTACACATCATCTAATTAAATTAGACACATATATAACCCTTAGAATTTATCAGAGAATTTAACTATACTGTCATAACTCAGTTCAGACCTAGTTTGCAAAATTACCAAAATACTTTCGTTAAGAGAATTTTTGTATTTTTTTGTCTCTAGACACAACTTATGTTCTTTTTAGGTCCTAATTGACTTCTTTGGCATGAATTAAATCCTCACATCAATTATCATGATTCAACTGACAGAATTCTCTTAACAGTTACAAAATACACACACTGTCTCACTTAACTGTCAATTTAACACAGTTTGAGAATTAGGGTTGTTATAGCACACACATCACCCGTTTGACTATGTCGTTATTCTTTTGTGCACAATGAGATCTACTTACCTCAAAGGTATCTCCTCCACCTGAGAGAGCCCTTAGATTCAGGATCAATTCACTAGTCTTTGACTAGATATATCTATCTCCACGATAATAAATATATGTTGGGAAGATTTTTTCATAAAATGAAATTAAAAACAATCCAAACAATGAATCGATTTGAATATTCCCGTTGTTTGTGGAAAACATAATATTAATGTATTCTTAAAGAGAAAAACAAATTTTCTTGTATAAGACCAATTATTGGCGGACTTGGGAATCTAAAGTAAGGAGAATCAGACAAATGACAAACAATAGAAAGGGGTTGACCTTATGGCATCCAACCCCGTGTCCCAATACGCCAGCACACAAGCGAAACTTAAAGAAAATCGCCAAATGAACTCCAACCAGCCTCAATCGAAGCTCGGTTGAATGGAAACCCAATCCAGCACTCTTGAGATACAGTCGCTTATTATTAATATCACTTGTTTTTCTTATGATAGGATTAGCCTTTGATACACTACAGTTTTTTCATTTAATGCATTCAATCATTTATTATCAGTTCTCAAAAGGAATATATATTTTTTTGTACCAAAAAAAGGCATATATTTTGTTTTTATTATTCTGGTAAATTATAATTTTCATTTTATATTCAAATTTTAATACTTAATTTCTCTAGGCCCTCCAAGAACGTATTATGTGTTAACAGCACATCATTCTTATTATATTACTTTTATATCTCTGAAGGTATATAATGTAAATAAATATATATATTCTTTTTTGAAATAGGAAGGGATAAAAAATAATGTAAATACTATTGTGGAAAAAACATTTTATTTTTGAAGCAACTAATTTTCTTGTTTCTCGCCGAATAAGATGAAATAATCAAAATGATTGTGCCAAGATAACACCTGGTATTATGTTTATAAAACTTTACGTTCATTAAATAGCGAATTTTATGATATAGAGATGTCTTGTTCTTTCCTGATTTGTTTTATAGTAATATGTGGAGTCCGCGAACTTGATCTTTCAAAAGTGACCATTAAATTAGGAAAATCCTTCTTTCAGATCACTCAGTTCTAACTTTTCTTATATTAAGATAGGTGGCAAAATCAAAGTTAGTTTTAGAAAATAGCAACGAAGTCTTTCAAAAAAAAAAAAGGAAAATAGCAACGAATCTTTATGTCGAAAAGAAGAAGACACCGCTCAGAGGAGTATAAATAGGCTAGACTAGACTAGACTTTGATTTAAATAGGTCAAGTTTGTGTAAAAAATATTGGGTCTGACCTGGCCTGTTAGCCTGTGTAGACTCCAAATTATAAGTTTGGTATGACCTATATTTAAAAAATAAAAACTTTGGCCTAGACCTGTTAACATGTTTAAGCCTATTAAACATTCAACAATTAAAAGAATAATTAAAATAATATTACTTTATTATTTAAATTTATTAAAATAATAATACTTTATTATTTAAATTTATTAAAATAATAATTTTATTTAATTTATTTAAAATAAATAATATGATATAGGCCGATCTGTAAGTTTATAGGCCTGATATGAAAAAAAAAAAGTCTATAACTTATTTTTTAAATAAATTTTTTTAAAAGCCTACACCATAAGTCACTGTACACCAGTCTAACTTATTTACATCGTGTTCGGGTAAGATTTAGTGGTTTAGTTTGGGTTCAGTGCAACATTTGGCTCTAGTTTATTGGTCAATTACATTTTATGTTACCCTCATAAGATTAGACGATGATTTCAGTAGAAACAGACCCATTCAGCCGATTGCCGTCTGCTTTAAGAAGATATACTCAACACTAACTAGTGCTCCAGACCTCGACTTACGCCTATATCCAAATCTCAATGCGTTCTTTTGGAAAGATGGGATATATGTCCAAGGCCATGGTTGCTGTTCTGAACTTACTTGTTTGTTATTCATTCTTCCACGTGGCAAGAAGCTCCCAGGTGGACCCTACCCTTGGGTTCACTGATGTTCCATTGAACCAATCAAATCTTATAGTTGAGAGGCCTTTTAATGTACCTGAAAATAAACGCTATAGCTTTGTCAATGGAGTGCACAAGATGTGGGTGTACTCCACGGACGATCCTCACTCCTTATATAGCAGAACCTTACCCCGAACAGAAATAGGCATTAGCGTAAGCAATATTTTTTATTAACTTTTATATTCGTCTTTTTTCTTCAGCGTACAAGAATTATATATGGTGTGAAATTATAGGCTTATATTTCATTTAGTGCCTGTTTGGATCCTCTCTTTTTTAAGCTAGAAGTTACTTATAAGAATAAGCTAGGCCAAACAGATTTTGGAAAAAGCTCTTTTTTATAATAAGAAAAAAACTGCAAACTAAAAGCTCCTAGGAGGAGCTTTTTTTTAAGCTCTTATCTGTTTTTCTTGAATTGTATGTTTTTTTTTTTAAATGAAGAGTGGTAAAGATAGAGAGAGATAATTTTCTTGAAATATGTGCTTTTAAGTAATTTTTAAGCTAAAACTTTTATGTAATTTTCAAACAGCTTTTAGCTTCTTTTTTTAAGCTCTTTTTTTTCGCTCTAACTTATAAGTAGCTTCTAGCTTAAAAATAAGAGGATCAAACAGGCTCTTAATAAAAATTACAGGCTCATATATGCCAATTGATAATGGTTTAATTAATTTAATGTGTCTTGCTAGTAAATTTTTTTAAACTATTCCTAGTACAAGAATTATATACTATATGAAGTTATAAAAGCTTATATGTATTTCATTTAAAACTTACAGACTTGTATATGCAAATTATTGCTAATGGTTTTATTGCCTTGGCCTTTCAGGGATACGGTTATAAGTCTGGGGTATGGCAATTTGAAGGGCATGGTTTTGTGCCGAATGGTACTTCTGGCGTGTGTATTATGCAAGTGTTCGGGGCAACCCCTCCTCGTGCTTCCACTTTTATGCTTAGAACGTACAAAGGTTCTCTTATGTATTATAGAAGTCCAATTTTGGTTCCAGACATATGGAGGAGATGGTTTAAGTTAAATGTGATCCATGACGTCGATGCCTCGTCTGTGAAGATTTACATTGATGGGGTTCAGCTTTATGAGGCGCCTGGTCGTGGCGGTAACTACCATTCCTTCAAGTTCGGGGTTTACTCACAAAGTGATTATTCTTACTGTATGGAGTCTCGTTGGAAGGGAATAAGAGTTCTGAAAAAAAATTCATGATTAAAGCTTGCGATATGTTGTTTAATGTCTAGTTAAATAAAGCTCGATGGGAATAAGAATGTTCTTGATTGAAGTTAGTGAAATGCTTTAGTTTATTTGGCCCTACGATCCGTCTAAATAATAGTTGCTGCTGAGGGTAGGTCGTCGTTCGTTGCTTCCATGGTCAATGGCTAAAGCGCTGTTTGGGGTCAATAAGTAGTGAGATAAAGAATCCTAAATTTTCAGTTTAGTGCCACCTAGCCGAGTTTAACCTGTTATGATACCATGTTAAAAATAGGGCTGTATATTTCTATTTTCCACTGCAATATTAGAGACTAACAATATATACAAGAGTTGGGCGTCATTTTCCATGATTTTAAGACCCAAATATACTAACCTAAAAATTAGAATGGGATTTGCCTTAATAAGGAAAGAATTCAAATAGTAAAACTATTTATTAGAATAATTCATAATTCAAAATAAATTACGATGACACCGGTTTGATTACGATCTTTTGACTAAAATGGATAATGTATAAGACGCAGTTCGTAAATCACACAAACTCATAATTGATCTCAATTAAATAATCTTCAAGATAAAATCTTAACTCACGTCAATAATCCCAAAGAATTAGAACTATAACAGAAAAAAGAGAGGACAATTACCCTGTTACACAAAATATTACAAGCAGCGGTGAGCCAACGAAAGTGGTTAGGGAAAGAGTCCCTTCATCCAAGCTCAAGGATTATTACTGTTGATGAGTAGTGGATAGGATATGTGTAATATGTATGAGAAGTTGTGTGACAGGTGTTTTATGTTTGAGAAGTTGTTACAAAATAATATAAAGTATTAAAAAAAGACCATCACTTAACACCTTAAAGTTTTGGGTTGAAATGGTTCTTATCATGGTATCAGAGCTTAAGTGACCACGAGGTCACGAGTTCGATCCTCACTGCCCCTCACTTTCAGTTGAAATTAAGAAAAACAAAAGGCAGACCATAAATGGGCTTGTGCCATATCCACGCTTCAAGCCCAAAGGAATTTTCCGTGAGGGGGTGTGTTAGAGAATAATATAAAGTATGAAAAAAGACCATCACCTAACACCTTAAGATTTTGGGTTGAAGTGGTGTTTATCATGCATTGGGTGAGACTAAATTAATTATTTTATATTTCTCTAATAAACTTGTGACCTTGTGGTCACTGAAACTCTGATACCATTATAAGAACCACTTTAACCCAAAACCTTAAGGTATGAGGTGATTGTCTTTTTAATACTTTATATTATTCTCTAACACACACCCTCACGCAAGAGCCTTCTGGGCTTGAAACGTAGATATGACACAAGCCCATTGTTTGTCTGCCTTGTGCTGCACAAACCCATTTTTTTTGTCTGCCTTGTGCTTTTCTTAATTCCACCTGGGAGTGGGGGGCGGTGAGAATCGAACTTGTGACCTCATGGTCCCTGAAGCTCTGATACCATGTAAAGAACCACTTCAACGCAAAACCTTAAGGTATTAGGTGATGGTCTTATTAATACTTTATATTATTCTCTAACATGGCACAAGCCCATTTTTTGTCTGGCTTGTGCTGCACAAGTCCAATTTTTTGATCTGCCTTGTGCTTTTCTTAATTTCAGTTGAAAGTGGGGGCGATGAGAATCGAACTTGTGACCTCATGGTCCTTGAAGCTCTGATACCATGTAAAGAACCACTTCAACCCAAAACCTTAAGGTATTAGGTGATGATCTTTTTAATAATTTATATTATTCTCTAACATGGCACAAGCCCATTTTTGGTCTGCCTTGTGCTACACAAGCCCATTTTTTTGGTCTGCCTTGTGCTTTTCTTAATTCTACCTGAAAGTGGGGGCGATGAGGATTGAACTTGTAGCACCTCGTGTATACCCGGTTTGTTAATATGTCATCGTATTAAGCCACGCTTAATTAAAAATGCAAAATATCTTTTTCTTTTCAATAATGACGTCATTATCAATTACCAAGTTGATTACTTAATTCTTTTTCCAAAACATTTCCTGTATCTGATTGCAAATAAACAGCTATCCATACTGAAAAAACCTTAATAAATAATATAACTGAATATGTGTCTCTAGTCACGGAACTACAACACGTAGACCGGATAGATCCTGATAATTTATACAACTCAAAATAAACTAAAACATCGCCAAATCAATATGGCATGGACAATCCCCATGCTCACCAAATAAACAGCATACTCATCGAGTCTCAAGCAAACAACATGATAATGGATAAGGTATAATCACTAAACAGGTACATCAGTATAATCAGCAAGCATATCAATCAACTAAGCTCTGGCCTCATGCCGCTAAAGGTCTCAACCCCTGGGTTACCTGAACCTGAAATAAGCGCCCCAAACGTAGGGTGAGATCTCTAAACAGAAATCTCAGTAAGGCAAGGGATCCTTAAGGATTTCTCCACCCCAAGCTCACTTACATGTGCAATATAAGTTTAAAAAGCAGTTAAACAATATAAGTTCCAAATCAGTGCAATGCAGCAGATAATCATGTCATGTTTGTCAACTATTCTACTGGCCAAAGAAATGCAAGATTTACACACGTATATTACCCACATAGTACACGCCTATTTCGTACCTGCCCACAGGATCACCTTCCCGTCTAGGCGAAACATCACATACATATCACGGCATTTGCACTTAACAGCTCAACAACATTTCAATAATGCAATACATGAAAACACATCATGCATATAAACCATTCTCCCATGGGGTATGTGGAACCAACAATGGCTAAACCGAGGACACAAAAGCTTACCTCTAAGCAATTAATCCAATCCACGGTCCACAAACGCTCAAAGTTCACACACAACACAATCACAATCTGTTTGGACCAATAATCATATCAATATTGATACTCTACATCATATGACATAAAGACAACGCCTTCCTTTTATGTTTCATGTCTTTAGGCTTCTCACAAAGCCATAAGCCCTTAATCACTTTGATTCTGACTTAGATTAATTATTACAGAAGTCCACAATAGCAAATCATGGGTCCACAAACCCAAAATAACATCATGTATGAACAGTACAACTACTGTCTCGAAATTTCCAAAATATCCAGATATTTGTCGGGGCAATATCCGAATATCAATATCTGGATATCATATCCAGATATGCATATCCGGATATCCATATTCGGATATCTCAAGATCCCATATCCGGATATCAATATTCGGATATCATATCCGGATATTTCGCGACAGAATACAGTTTTGCATTTCGTGAGATATCCTTCCCAAATGTTGCTCTTTTAACGATTCCAGAAGCTTAAACATGCATTTCTAGGTGTGTTTAACCTTACCCAATCTTAAGTTATCAACTTTAGTTATTACATGCATCAAGGCTTCATTTTTAACTAAGGAAACTCATTATCAAGGTTGGTGAAACTTACCAACAGTTCAAAACAGAGAAAGGAATGCTCTTGGAGCTCTCTATGAAGCTCCAAAGGTTCAGACTTGAAGGTGTACGAAAATGGCTCACCACAATGGTTCCTTTTCACCAAAGATAGCTTCTTGGAACAACACCAACAAGACACAAGCTCTCAAACAACCCAAACAGTGAAGTCAGCTCACAACAACCATAAACAGTTGCTAAGCAACCAGAAAGAGGTTCCCTTTCACCCACACAGGGCCAACTCTCACTCAACAATGGTGTTTTGGTGAAGGTTTCAATGAGAAAGGTGGCTCCTTGCTTCTCAAAGTGAAGAAGAAAAGCAAAGGAACAATGGAGGCTGATCAGCTGCAAGGTCTCACGAAGAAGGCAGTAGGAAATGACCTAGGATCATGTACCAAGGCCTTATATAGGCCATTTAAGTTTTAAACGCATTGTACTAGCGCTAATAGCTACGCTTAGTATTTTAATCTCAAACTTAGAATTCTAAACCTACTCATGTCAAGTTCATAGGCAGAATGCAAATAACATATAACGGAATGCGAATCCAAGGCACATGTGAGCAACAATTCACAATTCCATACACTAGCTAATAGTCACAATAGGTCTCACCACGAAACACTTACCTCGCATGCCACAAATAATTACCAAACAGCAGCGAAGTCAATCCACACTCAAGGGTTATGCGCACCTAATCAAGCAAAACCAAACAGAATTTCAAACGTTGATTCTTACAATTTTACAAGCACTAGCCATGCCTACAAGCCTTAGCATTTTACACGGTTTCCATAAGTCCTTTACTCACTAATTTTTCTGACTTCATAACAATTTTTCAAGCTTGTTGCAGTAACAAAATTCAAGGTTTCCCCATGTATATCCATTCAGTTTCTCCATGCTTCCTTCCCTAACAATATTCTGTCTTCATAATAATATAATAACTTATTAACAGTAATAAAATCCTAAACCCCCATTACATTCAGATTCGGTTTCTTAGGATAAAATTTCTCATGATATATATAAATATATATATATTCTGTCACATAATTATTCCTACTAAACCATGGGTGCGCTAGGGGAACCTATAAGCAGGTTGTACCATTAACTTCATCAATGCAAAGCTAAGCACATTAACTTATCTTAACAGGACAGTTCAACACTTTTACAAGAGTTATTTCCCAAACTCACACTCGGTTTTCAACCCTTCACTAGGTGCAACAAAATCTTATTTTCACAATCTTCTACACAAGACTTAGAGGGCAATTTAGGGCCTTTTAGCATGATATTCTTATAGATTAATACACATGCAAGGTTGAATATTTTTTCCTATTGTATGGAACAGTCCCAAGGCTGTTGAGGAGCTCTAAGCCAAGCTCCCACGGAGGTCAATTTCGGTTTACACATACTAATTCATGGCTGTTCACACGAACAGCAACAAGGAAGGGATTACAGAAAATTTTACATCTTAAAACACACATGCAACAGCCGAACAGTGAGGGAAAAAGAGAAAGCTTGTGGTTTGAATCCTACCTTTTTGCATGAACCCAAGCTCTCTCAAAACAGATGGGGAACACAGCCA